ATAAAGAATTAACATTGATGATTCAAATGATTGCCAAGTGCTAAAAATTCTAATACTCATAAAAGTGACAGAAATACTTTCTGTGCAAAACATCTCAACCACCTTGTAGTAAAACCATGCAAACTTTGAGCTAATTTAATGCATTTACCATTGTTAGTTCTTGCCTCTATCCCCTTGAACTGTTTTCTACAGAACTCATCTCTGGTGACCATGTATTAGAGCCTTCCACTTTGGGGCTTTGAACCTCATGGAGTAAAAAAAAGTGGTGGTTCATACATAATGACATATCCGATATCCATTTGTGTATTTATTCTGAAACAAAGCTCACTTTATCATACAAAATCAGTTCATCTTGAAACAGACCCAACACAATAAAACTCACTCAGAATACACACAATTCTGGGACAGATACCTGACATTTAGGACGGACCTTCAAATGCTTGTTCTCTGTGTGAACATGTGCAAACAAACCTATATCTGATTACTTAGATGTGGCTTTTCTACCTGCATTTGGTGTAAAAAATTTTGTATGTGGGAACGTACTTCAGGGAAATATGTAGAACTTTATACAAGTTCCCAAGGGTGCCCCTGACCCGGGAAGAGATGAAAAGAACTCTGCTTAGCAATGGGTGAATTTGTTCTCTTTGGTTTGTGCACAGGACATGTACACTGATCAAGATTTTCCTGAAATAGCCCTGGCTGATGTGGCTGAGTGGACTGTGTGCTGGGCTGCAAACCAAATGGTCAGCAGTTTGATTCCCAGTCTAGGGCACATGCCTGATTTGTAGGCCAGGTCCCCATTGGGGGCCTGTCCCTGTCTTTCTCATTCCCTCCCCCTCTCCAGAAGTAAGTCAATAAAAGCTATTCAAAAACATATCCATGAAGTGTATTGAGGGAAATTTTCTTGTCTTCACTAAGTATGAAAGGGAGGCACCTTTGATTTAAAACAAAATCCATGTACCTGAGAAATTTGGTTTCACGTGCCCAACCAGCACCCCCAAATCAAAGAGTTAGCGTGTCTAACTGACAGCTTTGTGTGGACACAAAGCCCAGGGCATGCTTTGTGCTCACATAAGGCAGGGCCACCATGCCTCAAGTGGAACTGCTCAAATGTGGGGAGCACTCCTGCTTGTTGCAGAGCCCCCTGGGCCACTCACCCACAGTGCTTAGGTGCAGTGGGAGTTCTCACCTCCTCGCACTTACTCTGTGTGCACAGGGTCCACCTGCTGCCCAGTTCACCTTTCTGACCCTCCACCTGGCATCCTGGGGAACCTCCAGCTCTTCTGCGCCCCAGATCAGGCTTACTTTTCTCAGAGGTCTTTCTTGGTGCAACAACTCACATAGGAACGCCTGCCCCTTAGCTCTGCAAACACAGGTCCCGCTCGGGGATCCCTCCACTGGGGCATCCCTGCCCTTGGCTTAATACCAGAGGGAATTAGCCACAGGTCCTCACCTTGGAGCTGAGGTGAAGTCAGTAACAGGTAGCTAGGTCCCAGACAGCTTGCACAAACCCAAGTCCTCAAGCAGCAGCCTTTATCAGCAGAGCCAGTACAGTTTGGCCTCAGCAATCTTGGCCTTCATTGCCTCCAGCTCTGCCCCCTGAGCACCACATACCCCCTCTTCCAGGCAAAGTCCTACCTGCCACTTTCTCCCTACTCTCAGTGCTGTTACCCTGAGGCTTTAACTAAGCCAGGGGCTCCCTCAGCAAAGCCCATCAGGTTCCTGGTGATGTGAAACACCACACAGCATGCTTTAGATGCCCTGCTGGAGGAAGATGCAGTGGGCCTCCCTTGAAAGGGCTCAATGGAATGACTGGGGACATCCTGGTTGTCAGAGAGGTCCAAGAGGATGTTGGGCCCATGTCTGTGACCATGGGTGCAGCTCTAGTTGTACTTGTCTGGGTACAACTGCCAGGGCCCCGTTCAGGGCAGGATGTTATAGGGCAGGACGTGCAAGCAACCATGGAGGACAGGCCCTGGGCATGGCATTTCCATGACAGCCATGGCAGAAAGATTCTGCATGGCTTCCTGCCACTGGAACAAAGCACCACCGAGGGTATCTGCTGTAAAAACAGAGATGTAACCCACCCTTCCTCTGGGACGTCTACCATGGGCGTGACAGCAGAGGGGTGACACATCCCGGACACTTGCATGGCAAGTGTGAGCCAGAGCACAGGTTATGGGAAGTAGGAAACTCACAAGCAAGGCCAATGTCAGGCTGTGTGGTAGTCTTTCAGGGAAGGATGCAGGAGTACAGGTGTCAGGTGGTGGGTTACAGCTTTGGGAGGATGCTAAGTCCCCACTCACAGGCAGGTGCACACATGTCAGGTGGAGCTTGACAGCTTTGGGAGGCTGCTAAGTCCCCACTGTGTGTGCAAGAACAATGCAGGCTGTGTGGTAGTCTTTCAGAAAAGGGTGCAGGAGTACAGGTGTCAAGTGGAGTGTTACAGATTTGGGAGGCTTCTAAGTCCCCATTGTGTGTGCAGGCAGAACCACAAGGCAGCACTGAGGAAACCAGCAGTCAATCACACCAGACAGAATGCTCACACCAAGGTCACCGGACACAGGCTTTGCACAGTGAGGCAGAACAGCCCATGAGGAAGGACACCAAAAAAAAACACAAAGCTTATCTTCTTGTCCAGAAAAGGCGGGACTTCTCTCCCAAGGAGAACTGCACACAGCCCCACACCTGGTGCTGATGTTGGGTAGCCCAGCATGTCACACTCCACCCCAGACGCCACAGTTAGAAGGTGTGCCCGGCAACAACAACAGAGTCTTCAATGAGGACTGTACCGCGTGTGCAAAGATCAACATGGCCCTTGTGAGGGCTCACCCTGTGTCTCTGCTCAGCTGGCCAGGAAGGAAGAGTGGGCGGGCAAGCACAGGCTCCTGCACGAGGACAACACCTACACCACACCCCACAGAACAGGACTTGTGGGTTCGATGACAATGCCTGTGTGCAGCAGCAAATGCCTGCACCCGCATCAGCTTCTGACAGGGACCTAGTCCATCCTGAATGGCACGGCTTCCCAATCCCAGGGACTTCATTTTCTTACCCAGGCCACACCCAGACCCCCTGACTCCTTCACAGGAAAGGAAGGCCTTGCCCTGAAAAAGCCCTGGGGCTACATAACTGAAAGGCCCCCCCGCACTTGTCGCATCTTCAAAACTGGGGAGGTTTGTGGCCGTACTCCTCACTTTGGGAGAAGATGTAGTCAAATTGCTTGTCTGTGCCTTTTCTCCCACACATCCCAAGAAACAAACCAAGAGTGCATCAGTGGGCCATCACCATGCTGAATGTAGATCAAAGTGTCACCTTTGGTCACCTGCCCTGGCCTGTGACCTGCGGAACTTATGGCAGCCCCTAGGGTAATGAGTGCTGTTCACAGGAGGCCATATCCTCCTGAGGAAGAGTGGAACCCTAACCCAAAGGGAAGGCTTAATGTCCCTGGACGCATTATGTAGGGGGTACCCCATACAACCTCGGTTACCTTCCTGCCTCAGTGACCCAGGGAGGGGGCTGAGCTCCTGTGTCCAAGCATGAGGTAGCGCACTGGCTTTGTGTAGCCCTGTGCCAACTGAGCCTTCCACCAGGGGTTTTGCCATACACAGCTTCACCTCCTCACTGCATTTCCCTGTGCTTCTGACCGCCTTGCACAGAGTGTACTTTGTTGCCCAGGACCCAAGGTCTAAGAGGCTGAGAGTCTCAGCAGAAGACAATCACTCACCCCTGTCTCTGACCTGCTGTGTCCACCCTGGAAAGGAACTCCTGCCATCCTGCGTGATACCTGCTCTTAAGGGTTTAGGGCCATCCACTGAGGACCACCCTGAGGGGTCTCACATGCAGAACAGTGAGCACTGGACACTGGAGGGCCTCAGGGGCCAGAGCCTTTCCTTCAATGTCCTTACCTTCCTAGGCAGAAGGGTAGCACCCAGTGAACTGGCCTTTCCCTTCTTGCTTCTTCATGCCAGCCCCAGCCTGGTGAGAAGAACTGCACCTCCCAATGCTTTCCATAGCAAAACTTACCACTTCCACAGCAGTATGGGCCCAGCCCTGCCATGGTCATTGATGTGGTGGGAAGACACTAATATGCCTGCCTTGTCTCAGGGCAGCAGCCTAACAAACTACACGCAGTCACACATACTTGCTCCTGTTTATTTCTCTTCCAGTTTGACTCCATGTACAGAATCCATTTGTCTCCGCCTGAAGAACTCCTGGGCTGATCCCTCTTCAGTCATTGCCTGTGTGGGAGAATAATGTTTGCTTAAAGCCCCATTTTTGGAAAAGGCTCTGTCAATCAGATACTCCTTCAGGTGAAGTGGACCCTCTGTCTTATGTGTTGGAGCCACAGGCAACTCCTGCCACATAACACACTCTGGCACCATCACATCCACTCTGAACAAGGTGAAGCCTTGGACAAAGATGTGGAAATCTTGACAAGAAAGAGAACCTCATCAGCACCTGGGTCCTCTGAAATATCCTCCATCCATGTGTTCCACATGTTCTTCCAGGAACTCTTCTCAGGGACCAGTGTTCACAGGGGCAAGGCTGCACAGGGCACTCTTGGGAATATCAAAGGAAGCTGTGAGGATCAAGGGAAGACACTCTGCTAGGTCTATCTCCTAGGTGCTACCCACTATGCTGCCTACACCCAGGTGGGGATGGAGGTCTGAGGACACTGGACAGGCCAACTGTCAAGGAAGGGCAGGTGGTGCAGAGGATGGGGTGGTGGGCCTGGAAGGAAAGGTCAGGAAGCAGAGGCAACCACTCACCACTGACTCCCAGGGGCTCTGGACATGCGCACTCCTTGGCAAAAGTCACACTTCCCCTGCATGAACCCGATGTGCAATGCAGTCCTCCCAGCATCCCCTCTTACCCTGATGACCTGGTCACCTGAGGCCCTGGGCTTTAACAGCCCCAGCCTGAATGGGTCCATGAGAGAAAGAAAAGGCCCAGCTACCCCAAAACCTCGGCCCAGTACCCAGCCAAGGACTCTTCACCTGTCCTCTCCTCGGACCCCTCAACTGCTGCCATCTTCTTCCTGTAGTACTTCAGGGGATTGAACCACAGGTCACCACAGATGCACTGGAAGAGGGCACAGAAAAGGTCGGGTGGGCAGAGCTTGGATCCCCATCCCACATTACTAGGGACCACAACAAGGCCTTTTCTGACAGTGCCAGCGGGGCCGCACCTCTGCAATCCTGCCAGAGCCTGCCAGGCTGTGGTCAGAGAACCAGTTGAAGAAGTTAAGGCTGCTGTTGTTGTGCTTGCGCCTGTAGGCCTCCTGCTCATACCGCTTGTGCCACTGAATGGGAGTGGAATAGCAGGACCTGTACCCTGCAGGAAGAAAGTCAGGTGAAAAGGTGATACTTGTTAATCCTCGCCACTCAGCTGAGGCCTGGAAAGGGACCCAGTCATCTCCTCAGAGCCTGCGCCACTGTGTCCTTGGTTGCAGGGACACACACTGGTACTGGCTAGCCGAGTAGCATGGGCTCCTAGGAATCCTGTGAGTGTGGAATTCCCCTGGCCTGGTGGTGAGAGAAGACTTTGCAAATGACTATGGAGGTACTGGAAGTCAAAAGTATATGTTCCTTTCGCTCCGGGATTGTCTGGGATTTGCAGGTGGGAGGATGCACAGGATACTCCTGCACAGGCATCAGCTTCTGTCTGGGACCTGGTCCATCCTGAATGGCACCGCTTCCCAGTCCCTGGGGCTTTATTTTCTTACCCAGGGCACACCCAGACTCCCTGACTCCTTCATAGGGAAGGAAGGCCTTGCTGTGAAAATGCCCTGGGGCTACATCCCTGCAAGGCCACCTCACACTGGTCGTATCTTCAAAATTCAGGAGGTTTGTGACCATAGTTCTCACTTCATAAGAAGGCATAATCGAATTGCTTGTCTGTGCCCCTTCTCCCACACATCCCAAGAAAGACACCAAGTGTGCATCAGTGGGCCATCTCCATGCTGAATGTAGATCAAAGGTCACCTTTGGTCACCTGCCCTGGCCTGTGTCCTGCGGAACTAATGGCAGCTCCTAGGGTAATGAGTGCTGTTCACAGGAGGCCATGTCCCCTGAGGAAGAGTGGAACCCTAACCCAAAGGGAAGGCTTAATGTCCCTGGACGCCATAAGTAGGGGGCACCGCATTCAACCTCGGTTACCTTCCTGCCTCAGTGAACCAGGGAGGGGGCTGAGCTCCTGTGTCGAAGTGTGAGGTAGCCTCTGGCTTTGTGTAGCCCTGTGCCAACTGAGCCTTCCACCAGGGGTCTTGCCAAACACAGCTTCACCTCCTCACTGCATTTCCCTGTGCTTCTGACCCCCTTGCACAGTGTCCCTAAGTGTACTTTGTTGCCCAGGACCCAAGGCCTAAGAGGCTGAGAGTCTCAGCAGAAGACAATAACTCACCCCTGTCTCTGAACCACTGTGTCCACCCTGGAGAGGAACTCTTGCCATCCTGCGTGCTACCTGCTCTTAAGAAGTCAAGGCCCATCTACTGAGGACCACCTTGAGGGGTCTCACATGCAGAACAGTGAGCACTGGACACTGGAGGGCCTCAGGGGCCAGAGCCTTTCCTTCAATGTCTTTACCTTCCTAGGCAGAAGGGTAGCACCCAGTGAACTAACCTTTTCCTTCTTGCTTCTTCATGCCAGCCCCAGCCCGGTGAGAAGAACTGCACCTCCCAATGCTTTCCATAGCAAAACTTACCACTTCCACAGTGGTATGGGCCCAGCCCTACCATGGTCACTGATGTGCCAGGAAGACACTGATATGCCTGCTCTGTCTCAGGACAGCAGTCAAAAAAACTCCACACAGTCGCACAAAATTGCTCCTGGTTGTTTTTCTTCCAATTTGACTCCACATACAGACTCCATTTGTCCCTGCCTAAGGCTCCTGCGCTGATCCCTCTTCAGTTATTGCCTGTGTGGGAGAACAAAGTTTGCTTAAAGCCCTATTTTTGGAAAAGGCTCTGTCAATCAGGTACTTCTTCAGGGGAAGTGGACCCTTTGTCTTATGTGTTGGAGCCTCAGGCAACTCCTGCCACACAACACACCCTGGCACCATCACATCCACTCTGAACAAGGTGAAGCCTTGGACAAAGATGTGGAAATCTTGACAACAAAGAGAACCGTATCTGCACCGGGGTCCTCTCAACTGTCCTCCACCCATGTGTTCCACACATTCTTCCAGGACCTCTTCTCAGGGACCAGTGTTCACAGGGCAAGGCTGCACAGGGCACTCTTGGGAATATCAAAGGCAGCTGTGAGGATCAAGGAAGACACTCTGCTAGGTCTATCTCCTAGGTGCTACCCACTATGCTGCCTACACCCAGGTGGGGATGGAGGTCTGAGGACACTGGGCAGGCCAACTGTCAAGGAAGGGCAGGTGGTGCAGAGGATGGGCTGGTGAGCCTGGAAGGAAAGGTCAGGAAGCAGAGGCAACCACTCACCACTGGCTCCCAGGGGCTCTGGACATGCACACTCCTTGGCAAACGTCACAGTTCCCCTGCATGAACCCGATGTGCAATGCAGTCCTCCCAGCATCCCCTCTTACCCTGATGACCTGGTCACCTGAGGCCCTGGGCTCAAACAGCACCAGCGTGAATGGGTCCATGAGAGAAAGAAAAGGCCCAACTACCCCCAAACCTCGGCCCAGTACCCAGCCAAGGACTCCTCACCTGTCCTCTCCTCAGACCCCTCAACTGCTGCCATATTCCTCCTGCAGTACTTCACGGGACTGGACCACAGGTCACCACAGATGCACTGGAAGAGGGCACAGAAAAGGTCGGGTGGGCAGAGCTTGGATCCCCATCCCACACTACTAGGGACCACACCAAGGCCTTTTCTGACAGTGCCAGGGAGGCCGCACCTCTGCAATCCTGCCAGAGCCTGCCAGGCTGTGGTCAGAGAACCAATTGAAGAAGTTAAGGCTGCTGTTGTGCTTGCGCCTGTAGGCCTCCCGCTCATACCGCTTGTGCCACTGAATGGGAGTGGAATAGCAGGACCAGTACCCTGCAGGAAGAAGGTCAGGTGAAAAGGAAACTGCCAGCAACCAAACCCATTCTGGTGCCCACCTGCACAGGGTACTCTCACACACCTGTCAGGGTGATGAGGTACTCCTTGACAATCACATCATTGCGGAAGTAGGGGTTCCTGCGGAAACAACAGCATGATCTTGCAGCGGTCACTGCCTTTTTCCACCTGCAGGGTACAGTGGGTCAGGAGGCTGAGATCTCACTCCAGGCACTGGCCCTTTCCTCTTTGCAGGCACAGCTCATTCTCCCAAGGCCCCTCCCTCTGCCCCACATTCTCTCACAACCTCACCTTCAAGTCAGTCATGAAGCTCAGCATGCTTTCATCTTGCTCACTGATCATGGCTGACAACTCAGGGTGGTTGACAAACTGCTGTTGGTCAAGGAGCCTGCAGGTGGAATGCTGGACAGCAAGAGGGTAGAAAGTGGAGCTTGTGTGCAGAAGAGCATGGTGTATCCTTCCCTCTCCTGCCCCTAGGACCAGTCCTTGCTTGCATAGTGCTAGGAGGCCCCCCAGAGCCTGATATCCTGACACCACCTGCACAGACCCAGACCTGCTCCTTTCCCCAACCATCCCCTTCTCCGGCTCATCCTCTGGTGCCCAGGCCTTGGCAGGATATGCTTTCTTGTCCAGAGCACACAATGCACATGCAGGCCCATGTCCTGCAGCACTCCTGGCAGCAGGAGCTGGGCAATGTGGTCTCTGTGAGCCTGGACTGCACTGCTAGCACAAAGATGAGGCAGGTCCCCGCCAGTATGTGTCAGGCTGCCTTCTCTACCCTGAGCTTCACTGCACCATGTCTAAGACCCATGAGCTCTTCTGCAGCACATCTAGGTTGCTCTGAACTATCCCAGCCAGAAACCTGTTTCCACCACTGCCCCTGCACACTGCGATGTCTACAATGCTTCCCCAAGGATACAGCTTTGGCCCAGAATCCACGCAGACTCTGGATAATGGAGCTTCTGAGTTCCAGGTGGGGCTTTCTCCTCTGCCAATTCCTTTGCTGGAGGCGGGAGAAGGCTCTCCTGGCTTGCTCATTCACGGGCTCCATCTCCAACTGGAGCGCCTCTAGCGCCTGCACAGGGGACCAGCTGAAGGGGCCCCCAGGCCCTGGACCTGGTTGCTCCTTGTTCACTGATTTCCGGCCTTCTTCCTTTCTTTCTGCCTGTGACCCCTCCTCTGCCTCCTCCACCACCTGGCCCTGCAGCCTGGAGCCCGCCCCCTCCATCACAGAGTCTTCCCCAGCTGCCCATTGGCCCTGAACCCCCTGCTCCTGGTCCCACTCCCCAGCTGCCTCTGGCCCCCCTGCGACCTCATCCTCCTCTTCCTCTGCTAAGGAGCCCTCAGCCAACACCTCCTCCTGCCTGCCCACATGCAGGTCTAGCCAGACCTTTGCCTCTGACCCCAAACTTTCATCCTCTGCCCAAACCTGCACCACGTGCATGAGGTCTGCCCCTTCTGCCACAAACTGCTCCCCTGATACCAGTGCACTGTTGGGTCCCTGCTCCTCCTCCAATAGCTCAGCCATGGAAGCACTCTGCTGGACCTCAGGCTTTTCATGGTCCCCCAGCTGCGACTCAGCCAACACAGCCTCCCCTCTGCCCACCTCATGTGGCCTCAACTCCGCACCTGCTGCTGCCACACTTGCACTCCCTGCAGCCAAGAGACTGTCCCCAGACACCAAGATTTGGTCCACTGCCAACGCCTGGCACACGTGGTCCAGTCCCAGTCCCAAGTCTACACTGCACAGCCCCTGGGCCCTCACCTCCACAGCATCACCTTCCTGTGCCAAGGCCAACAGGGAGTCACAAGCACCCTGGGCCGCGACACCCGCCTCGGCCTCCATCATCCAATCGCCCCCTTTGGCGCCCTCTGTCTGCTCCAAGCCTTCCTCCCAGCTGCGCCAGACCCAACCAAGAGGACCCAGGAGGCCTGTGCAGCAGCCCTGCTGGAGGCTAACCCGGCCCGCCTTCAGAAGTGGCCCTGGCCCAGTTCCCGGACAACCTCACAAAATGCCAACCAACACAGTGGCCACTGTCAGGGGAGCCCTGAGCGCCATGCGCAGATCTTCCAGACAGGGATTCCGAGCCGGCCCTGGAGCTGAGGACCAAGGCACATGCGCACAGGCCTTTATGCCCAGTGGGAGCATTGACCCCTCCACCGACCCCTCTGCCCTCACCCAGTGTCGCATGCTCTGCACGCAAGTCCTGACTGCCACAAGTCTCCTCCAATCAGTGAGGTGGCCATGGGTGCCTTCTTCCCAGGCCCTACCTGACAGCGCCTGGCAGGAGTTCCCTTCCTCCTGCT